AGGGGGTGAAGGTCCTAGGCCAGGCTGCCATCTTTACTGCAGGCTCTGTGCTGCCCGAGAGGCCACTGTGGCAGCCAGTGCCTTAGCTCTGCCTATCAGGACACAAGGGGGCTCGCTGAGAGGGAGAGGCTGCAGGGGACCAGCCAGCCCCAGATCCATCCCCGAGGGCAGAGAGAGAGAGGAGCCCTCCCTGAACCCAGCTGGTCCCTGAGCCCTGCAGCCTGGCTTCCCAGACTGAAGTCTCAGGATCCCCCTCCCCTTCTCCCTTCCCCTAGGCCCACTCTGTGTCTTTCTTCAAGCCTGACCTTGAGCTCCAGATGTGCACACAGCTGCCCAGATGTCTGTTTATTTTGGGACCTGGGGCTTGAACTCTAGGCCTGGACGCTGTCCCTGAGCTCTTCAGCTTAAGCTCTACTATTTGAGCCACAGCTCCACTTGCATTTTCTGGTGGCTAATTGGAGATAAGAATCTCATGGACGTTCCTGCCCAGGCTGGCTTTGAACTGTGATCCTGAGATCTCAACCTCCTGAGTAGTAGAATTACAGGCATGAACCACCAGCGCCCAGCTGCCCTGATGTTTTATAACACCAAGTGCCTTGCACCCAGCCCTTCCCGCAGGCCTTGCTCATTCCTGTGCTCCCCTTTGTGGGGAATGGGGCCTCTGGATATGCGATTCCAAGGCCAGGGCCTCCTCTCCCCCACCTTCCTGCTCCCCCGACATCCTCACCACTGCAGAGCCAATCTCCTAACTGCAGCCTCGCCTCCTTTGCTCTGACCCCCATTTTACTTCCTAAAATGCAGCTCTGGCATGTTACCCCATGGCTCCCCATGGCCCTTGGATTTGGCCCCAAGTGCTAGAGGGTCCCCCATTGATGCCTGGGCCAGCAGTGAGATAACATTCTTCTAGTTACACCTCCTATGAGGCTGGCATGAAAGGCATATGTTACTATGCCTGGTTTATTTGTTGAGATGGGAGGTCTCACTGTGCTAGTGTTGAACCATGATCCTCCTGATTTCTGCCTGTTAAGAAGCTAGGATTGGGCTGCGAATGTGGCTTAGCGGCAGAGTACTTGCCTACCATGCATAAAGCTCTGGGTCTGATTCCTCAGTACCACATACACAGAAAAAGCTGGAAGTGGTGCTTTGGCTCAAGTGGTAGAGTGCAAGCCCTGAGTAAAAGAAGCTCAGGGACAGTGGCCAGACCCTGAGTTCAAGCCCGAGGACTGGTTTAAAAAAAAAAAAGCTAGGTTTAAAGAAGTGTACATCAGCCAGGCGCCAATGGCTCACGCCTGTAATTCCAGCTACTCAGGAGACTGAGATCTGAGAATCACAGTTCAAAGCCAGCCTGGGCAAAAAAGTCTGTGAGACTCTTATCTCCAATAAACCACCAGAAAAACTGGAAATGGTACTGTGGCTCAAGTGGTAGAGAGCCCTTGAGTTGAACAGCTGAGGGACAGCGCCCAGGCCCAGAGTTCAAACCCCACGATTGACCAAAAAATGAAAAAGAAAAAAAAAAGAAATGTGCATTATGGGGGCTGGGAAGGTGGCTCAGTGGTAGAGCGCTTGCCTTGCATGCCTGAGGCCCTGAGTTTGATTCCTCAGCACCACATAAGCAAAAAGAAAAAAGCCGGAAGTGGCGCTGTGGCTCAAGTGGTAGAGCGCTAGCCTTGAGCTGAAGAGCTGAGGGACAGCGCCCAGGCCCAGAGTTCAGGCCCACTACTGGACCAAAAAAAAAAAAAAAAGAAATGTGTATTATGCTCGGCCACATCCTTTTTTTCAGCCACCTCAAAGTATCCTCTTCCCCTCAATTCATCAAACAACTTCACCTGCCTGGAAGACTCCTCCCAACTCTTGTGCCTTGAGAGCCTATTTACCCTTCAAGGTCCAGCCTTAACCAGGCTGAGTGTGTGCTTGTCCCACATATTCCAGGGGCTGAGGCTTGAGCCCATCTCTACAAGGATGTTGTTTTCCTTCCTGATGACCAGGTTGATCAGGACTTTCCTGGTTTGCTCCTGTCCTGGCTCTGCCTTACTCATCCCATTTGTTTCACAAGTGTTTACTGAGCTGCCACCATGGGCCAGGCCCGGTGGCCACACTATGTGTTTGTATGTTGTTTTGTTTTGTTTTTTTTGGATCCGGTTGTGGGCCTGAACTCTGGGCCTGGGCGCTGTCCCTCAGCTCTTCAGCTCAAGGCTAGCGCTCTACCACTTGAGCCACAGCGCCACTTCCGGCTTTTTTCTTTTTGCTTATGTGGTGCTGAGGAATCGAACCCAGGGCCTCATGCATGCAAGGCAAGCGCTCTACCACTGAGCCACCTTCCCAGCCCCTGTTGTTCTTGTTGTTGTTTTTTGCTGGTCCTGGGGCTTGAATTTAGGACCTGGGTGCTGTTCTTGAGCCTCTTTGTATTCAAGGCTAGCGCTCTACTACTTGAGCCACAGTGCCACTTCTGGCTTTTTCTGTTTATGTGGTACTGAGGACTCAAACCCAGAGTTTCATGCATGCTAGGCAAGCACTCTACGACTAAGCCCCATACCCAGCCAGTTTCCCTTTCTTAACCTTTCCAGCCCTGTAGCCTGGGGGGGGGGGGGGGGGGGCGGGGGACTGGCTAGTTAACACTGTGGTTCCAGGGTGGACACAGGGCCACCTGCTGGTGGCCTCTGGAACTGCACTGCTGTCCCAGAATTGGGTGTTTTGGGGAGAATAAGCAATGGTTTTAACCCCTCTGAGAGAACTCTGTAGGCACCATAGGCACCAAAGGGCATTCCCAGAACTGCTGCACATGTCAGAGGCTTTAGTCCACTTGTCCCATCTTTATTTCCTTAGCACACATTAGCTGTACAAGGAGGGTTTCATTGTGCCATTTCCACCCATGTCCTTACCCGTCTATCTTCTTCCCTTCAGACAGCTCACAGGCTGCTTCTGTACCATGTCCTCCTTGCCTCCCATGGAGGCCATTCCTCTCCCCAGGAAGTCTTTGGTCCACACTTCCTGGGCATCAGGGATTGTTTCCCGGGAACCTTCCCTGATTAGGGACTTGCTGTCCTCACTTCATGCATCCTTCCATTACAGAGCAGACAGCTTGTGTGGCTGTCCGCTCTGCAGGTGGGCCTGATGTGGGTGGGGTAATCAGATTTGTGGATGCCTAATGCAGTGATGCTCAGTCCACGACAGCTGCAGGAAGCAAGTTCCCACAAACAAGATGCCAGGGGTCCAGACTGAGTCTTCTGTCTCTGACCCAGAATTCCATGAAGTGCAAGTAATGAGAAGTATATTTTAGGCAGGCAATCATCAAACAACTGATCCTGAAATAGGGATCCCCACCGACACCAGCTGGTCTGTTGAATGGGGTTCCCCAGGCTTCCCTACTTCCAACCTAGAGAGCACACAGGGCCTGTCTTCTTCCCTCTTTGGTAGATGGCCCATGTCCAGAATGGGACAAGCTGTGTCCCTACAGCTTCACACACGGCAGGGGCTGAGCTACGTCATCCAGAGCTGGACAGGGACAAGGGGCAACAGAGGCTCCTCCCATGCTGCTGCTTCTTTGGGTGCTCATCTTTGAGGGGCCACTAGAGGGTGCCAGTTAAGCCAGGTGCACCTACATGCCTCCTTCACCCCAGATAAGAAATGCAGCCAGTCCTGCTCGCCCTTGATGGGGTCCCTGCAGGTCTGTCCCGCTTACGATGTCAGCGTTCATTTCATTCTGCAATGAAAATTCTCAAGCCAAAAAATGATAGCATAATTCTTCACTGGGAAGAAATCTCTTTCATCTAAACTACAAAATAACATCTTAAGTGTACTTCTAGTAAGTTGTCTATCTCTTTATTTAACAATAAGGTAAAAAAAAAAAAAAAAACACCCCGAAACAAACAACAACAACAAAAAACCCAACTACATTGCCAAGCACCAGTGGCTCACACCTGTAGTCCTAGCTACTACAGGTGGCTGAGATCTGAGAATTTTGTTTTGAAACCAGCCCAGGAAAGAAAGAAATTAACCACCAAAGAGTCCTAAGTGACAAAGGTAGCAGCGGTACTCACACTATTGAAAAAGAAACAACTTGTGGGTGGGGATGGGAGAGAAAAACTGGGAAGAGGCCATAGAGATGTACTCATTACCTGACTTAGGTAACTGTTACCCTGGTGAATCATCTTTATTAAAAAAAAAAAAAAAGCAGTAAGTGGGGCTGTGGCTCAAATGGTAGAGCCCTAGTCTTGAGCAACAAAACTCAGGGATAGCGCTCAGGCCGAGTTCAAGCCCCAGCCAAGACCAATACCACTCACGCCACACCCTTAGCAGCTCTCTCAACTCAAGGGTTTTTTGTTTTTTTTTTTGCTGGTCGTGGAGCTTGAACTCTGGGCCTGGGCACTGTTCTGAGCTCTTCAGCTCAAGGCTAGTGCTCTACTACTTGAGCCACAGCACCCACTTCCAGCTTTTATGTGGTGCTGAGGAATCGAACCCAGGGCCTCATGCATGCAAGGCAAGCACTCTACCACTGAGCCACCTTCCCAGTCCCTAACTCAAGGGGTTTTGTTGGAGTGCTGTGATTAGAGGTGTGACCCCATGCTGGTTTCCACACAGCGCGCTCACTGGGATGAGATTCTAGTACATGGGATCCGTCCACGCCCACCGCGCTCTGGCACAAATTCCTGCAAGTTGAGCAGCTTTCACTCCTTTTGCTCCTGTGCCAGGAGCCATAGCACCAGTGCATGCAGAATGGCAATGCATGCTCATTCCAGCAGCGATGCTATAAGGTTTGGTCTCCCCTGACAAGGCCCTGCTCCACCTCCTGCGGAAGGGCAGCGAGAACCATGCACGCCATTGCTATTTGAGGCCTCAGCCTGTGGGTTACAGTCTTGAATTCATCTCCACATTTCTCAGGGGCCATCTTTATTTGTGGTAGTAAGATGGGGACAGAGCACTACCTCCCAAGGCCATGCTTCTGACAAACGTTCCCGATGGATGGCAGTGATGGTGGCGAGGGACTCAACACTGCACCCAAATGACAAAAGTTACGTTTAATTTACAATGTAATAAAGGTTACAGGTAAAAAGCTACACAGAAAGCGTGAAAAGGCCTATTACACAAATGTACAAATCTCTGTACAAAGCTCCTCCCTTGGTCTCTTGTGTTAGCCAGTGCTGTTCCTGAAGCTCTGAACGAGCAGAGCTTGCCACCCGGGGGAGGAGCCTCCACCAACAGCTAAAACGTCCTCTTAAGAGAAACCAGTTCCTTACAAAGTGAAATCTTCTCTTTTTAAATTTGATCTGCCCCAACCCGTCACAGCCTTTAAAACTGCCTCCATACCACACTCAAAAAGCAAAATAACGCCTTAGAGTAGAGGACAGTACTCTGGAATTAAATTTAAAAAAAAAATTAGGCAAGTGGAGTGCTTCAGGTTGGACAAGAAAAACAGGTAAAGGTCAAACAATACTGTAGGTTAAAAAGCCTAAACCTGTGCCAGGGCACTGATAACAGACGAAGGGAAATCAAAATGTTCTTACTCCAACAGAAAGGACAAAAGAGAAAAGCCTAACTATTGGACCTCAAAACCATCAACCCAAGAAAACACGTTCGAGTTTAAACCTTAGCTTAACTGATCAACCTGAAATCCATGACAACTCCTTTGCTACCTGGGACTTTCGAGGCCACGTGACCTCCCCAGGTCTGGATTCCATCTGAAGGCATGTGAATCACCCTAGGGAGAAGGAGAGGAGGGGTAGGAAGAGCCAGGGCAGTCTACTTAAAAGTACCCACGAATCCTCTGTCTACACTAAAGCGTTCTCAAGACAGGTGTTTGTGGGCTAGTCCAGCCCCACCTGCGGGCTCAGTATTACATGGTTTAGGACCCCAGGAGACATTCTCAAAGACGATACTGCACACGTGGAAATTTTCCTCCCTAGTTCATTAGTTCTGTCACCCTTCCACCCCATTCCCACCCAATCAATCCCCCACTTCTCCATGACCAAAAATATCAAATCAGTAAGGAAGGGGTGGGCTTCTTGCCCGGCCACGCCTCTTTTGCATATTTCTTCTTCTTGGGTTCGTTTACAGCTTCAGGATTATAGACAGCAGGGTTTGGTGTGGGGTTCATGTTCACTGCTGACGGCACAACGGGAGTCAAGTCCACATCAGGGGCAAGGTTCGGGTACGGCATAGGCAAGCCACCGATGAGCGCCGTTCCATGGATGCCGTGTGGCTGGGAGCCTGCTTCGCTGTGCGTGGGGGGCAAGCCCCCGTATAGTCCTCCGCTGAAGGCAAAGTTCTGCATGCGTCTGCTGCCTGACTCCTCCAGGCCCAGGGAGCCATGGCCCTCCACCCGCTTCTTCTGTAGTTTTCCATGAGAGGGGAGACAAGAGAGGGGAATCAGGAGGTGAAGCATTACAGAAGTTTGGTTTTCAACTCCAGAGCTAGGAAAATGGCCTTCTGGGCTTTTCTGTTTTCGAGAACCCAGTACACATCCTGAAATCTTAGGGTTTAAAAGACCTTACAATAGGGGCTGGGAAGGTGGCTCAGTGGCAGAGCGCTTGCCTTGCATGCATGAGGCCCTGGGTTCGATTCCTCGGCACCACATAAGCAAAAAGAATAAAAGCCGGAAGTGGCGCTGTGGCTCAAGTGGTAGAGCGCTAGCCTTGAGCTGAAGAGCTGAGGGACAGCACCCGGGCCCAGAGTTCAGGCCCCACAACCGGACCCAAAAAAAAAAAAAAAACCTTACAATAGTCATCTCTAACACAATGGCTCTCAACTAGCACTTCACAGCAAAGTTTTCACCATCTGACACCAAATGAGAAATGTTTAATCTATCTAATTTAAACGACTAGACTTTAGCCTAAGGTCATATACCTTCCTCTCATACATTGGGGCTAAAATGCACTGGTAGGAAATGGGCGTAATAATTTATTTTCTTGGGGGAGGGTGTTACAGAAAAAAATGGCAATTTCTTGTTGGTTACTCAACTCTACTTTTTTTTTTTTGGTCATAGGGCTTGAACTCTGGGCTTGGGTGCTGTCCCTCAGCTTTTTAGATCAAGGCGAGTGCTCTACCACTTGAGCTACAGCGCCACTTCAGGTTTTCTAGTGGTTTATTGGAGATAGGAGTCTCATGGACTTTCCTGCCTGGGCTGTCTTCAAACCATGACACTCAGATCATGAGTAGCTAGGGTACAGACGTGAGCCACCACTGTCCTTTTACTTTTATTATATTATTTGAACTCAGGGCCTGGGCACTGTCCCTGAGCTTCTTTTGCTCAAGGCTAGCACTCTACCACTGAGCCATGGAGCCACTTCCAGCTTTTTCCGTTTGTGTGGTACTGAGGAATTGAACCCAGAGCTTCATGCATGCTAGGCAAGCACTCTACCACTAAGCCATTTTTTTTTTAGGGGTCAGTCATGGGGCTTGAACTCAGTGCCTGGGCACTGTCCCTGAGCTGTTTTGCTCAAGGGTAGAGTTCTACCACTTTGAGCTACAATGCCACTTCTGGTTTTCTGGTGGTTAATTGGAGATAATCTCACAGACTTTCCTGCCTGGGCTGACTTTGAACCCTGATCCTCAGATCTCAGCTTCCTGAGTAGATAGGATTATAGGTGTGAGCCACCAGCACCCAGCTTTCTTTTACTTTCTTACACTGCATCAAAGCTAATGAAAGAGCCTCCTGGCTCCAGACTCCTTTACTATTAGATGCAGATGAACAAGACTATGACATATATTGTCAATTTAGATTGAAGTACATGAGTTCCACACCTGCTGATTAAATCAACTAAGAGCTAAAAATTTTAAGAGGGGAAAAATTGTACTGTATTTTTTATTTAAGTTTTTCACCTACAACTCTTTTTTTTTTTTTGGGTCCGGTTGTGGGGCCTGAACTCTGGGCCTGGGCGCTGTCCCTCAGCTCTTCAGCTCAAGGTTAGCACTCTACCACTTGAGCTACAGCACCACCTCTGGCTTTTTTCTTTTTGCTTATGTGGTGCTGAGGAATCGAACCCAGGGCCTCATGCATGCAAGGCAAGTGCTCTGCCACTGAGCCAGCTTCCCAGCCCTCACCTGCAACTCTTCTATGATATTCTAGTATTCTCTACACATAGAGGAGGGTAAGAGTGTTTCCACAAAATGAAAAGTGGTAGAGAACACAGAATGTTTCAGAGCTCAACACTCTTTTAATATTTATCTTACAGCACAGGGTTTTCTTTCTTTTATGTGCAGTGCTGGAGCAAACCATGGCCTTGCTACACAGTCTACCACTCCAGATTAGGTCAAATACTGTTAAAATGTGTTTCTTACCTTTACTGGGACCACTGCCGTTTGCACCATATTCCTGAAGCGACCAACTGAGGGATCCACATCCTCTGCAGAAAGAGATGAGGGTTTAGGTTGGGTTGGCTCTCTAATGGGAGGGAGAAAGGTAGTGGCCCACTACAAAACAATTACAACTTTTTTTTTTTTGTTGTTGGTTGTAGGGCTTGAACTCTGGGCCTGAGCGCTGTCCCTCAGCTCTCCAGCTCAAGGTGAGCGCTCTACCGCTTGAGCTACAGCACCACTTCCGGTTTTCTGGTGGTTTATTGGAGGTAAGAGTTTCACGGACTTTCCTGCCCGGGCTTTGAACCGTGATCCTCAGATCTCAGCCTCCTGAGTAGCTAGGAGTACAGGCGTGAGTCAGCGGCACCCAGCCTGCAACAACTTCTTTAAAGAGAAAAACACAAAGCCAGACATTAGTGGCTTACGCTGTAGTCTTAGGTATGCAGGAGATCAAGATCTGAGGATTTCAGTTCAAATCCAGCATAGGCAGGAAAGTTTATGATACTGTGTGTGTGTGTATGTGTGTGTGTGTATATTCACATGTGTGCATGAGCGCACACCTAGGTCCTAGGGCGTAAACTCAGGGCCTGTGTGCTCTCCCTTAGCATCAGTGCTCATGGCTAGTGCACTACCACTTTGAGTCACTAGAAGCTCCACTTTCAGCTTTTGGTGGTTAATTGGCCTTTTTTGCCCTGGCTGGCAAGATATTCCCATGATCCTCAGATCTCAGCCTCCTGAGTACCTAGGATTACAGGTGTGAGCCACCAGTGCCTGACTCATTAGACTCTTATCTCCAATTAACCACCAAAAAGCTGGTAGGAGAGCTGTGGCTCAAGTAGTAGCATGCTAGCCTTGAGTGAAAAAGCAGGGAGAGAGGGGGAGGAGGGAGAGAGAGAGAGAGGGACAGGGAGAGGAAGGGGGGAGGAAGGGGAGGAGGGAGAGAGAGAGAGGGAAGGAGAGGGGGACAGGGAGAAAGGGAGAGAGAGAGAGACAGAACACTGGAAGTGTTTACTGTGAACAGGGCACTGTTCTATTTAGGATTCCTACGTAGCTAGGATGGTAGGCCTGTATCACCACGCTATTGGCTAAAATGGGGTTTTGCTAACTTTTTGCCTGGGCTGGCCTCAAGCTACAACCCTTCCAATCTCTACTTTCTGAACAGCTGGGATTATAGGTATGAGCCACTATGTGCAGTTGAGGTACTGATTTTCTTTCTTTCTTTCTTTTGCCCGTCGGGGGCCTGAACTCTGGGCCTGGGCACTGTCCCTCAGCTCTTCAGCTCAAGGCTAGCGCTCTACCATTTGAGCCATAGTACCACTTCCACTTATGTGGTGCTGAGGAATTGAACCCAGGGCCTCATGCATACAAGGCAAGCACTCTACCACTGAGCCACCTTCCCAGCCCGAGGTACTGACTTTCTTTTTCTTTTGGTCGGTTGTGGGGCCTGAACTCTGGTCCTGGGCGCTGTCCCCCAGCTCTTCAGCTGTAGACCAGCGCTCTACCACTTGAGCCTCGGCCCCACTTCCAGCTTTTTCTGCTTATGTGGTGCTGAGGAATCGAACCCAGTGCATGCAAGGCAAGCACTCTACCCCTGAGCCACATTCCCAGCTCCAAGGCACTGATTTTCAATGAGAAAAAACACAGCAGATCAGACCCTAACTCCTGAAGGAGACTTTGTAGGGCCCACATTACTGATTGTTCATGAATAAAAACAAAAGCTTGTCAAAAATACAAAATGCTAGCAGGGGGCTGTTGGCTCACGCCTATAATCCTAGCTACTCAGGAGGCTGAGACCTGAGGATCACAGTTCAAAGCCAGCCTGGGCAGGAAAATCCGTGAGACTTTTATCTCCAATAAACCACAAGAAAAACTGGAAGTGGTGCTGTGGCTCAAGTAGTAGAGCGCTTACCTTGAGCTGAAGAGCTCAGGGACAGCGCCCAGGCCCAGGCCCAGAGTTCCAGCCCCAAGTCCAAAAAAAAAAAAAGAAGTTGTAGCCATTAGAATAGGCCTATGGCTTTCAGAGGAATCTTCTCTTTTAGTAAATCTAAGGTAATTACTTCTTTTTCTTTGTTAATGTTGAGCCAAAACTAGGTAACCTTTGGCTCTGGTTGTGGCCATTCCAATCCTGACCACAATAGCTGGGTTCCCTTTCTCCCTTCATGTATGCTTCTCCAATATCGCTAGCATCCAGGGTACATTCCACAGCTTTGAGCCTCCCTCTCCCTCCCTACACTGAACTACACAAGACATCTGGGGGAATTCCTGTCCAAACATCAACCAATGGGGTTACCATCACTGCAAGTCTTCTTTATTAGCTGCTCCTAAGGCTTGAAACCAGGGCCTGGGCGCTGTCCCTGAGCCTCTCTGTGCTCAAGGCTGCGCTCTACCACTTGAGCCACAGTGCCACTTCCAGCTTTTTGATTATGTAGTATTATGGAATCAAACCCAGGGCCTCATGCATGCTGGGCAAGCACTTTACCACTGAGCCACATTCTCAGCCAGTCTTCTATTAGTACAATCTTTTTTGCTGGTTCTAGAGCTTGAATTCAGTGCCTGGGAGCTGTCCCTGAGCATCTTTTGCTCAAGGCAAGCACTCTACCACTTGGGCCACAGTGCTATTTCCAGCTTTTTTGAGTAGTTTATTGAAGATAAGAGTCTCATCAAATTTCCTGAGTAGCTAGGATTACAGGTATAAGCCACCAATGTGTGGCTAAAGTGTGTGTGTGTGTGTGTGTGTGTGTGTGTGTGTGTGTGTGTGTGTGTGTGTGTGTGTGTGTGTGTGTGTGTGTGTGTGTGTGTGTGTGTGTGTGTGTGTGTGTGTGTGTGTGTGTGTGTATTGTCATGGGGCTTCAACTCAGGGCTTGAGTACTGTACCTGAGCTCTTTTGCTCAAGGATAACACCCTACTACTTTGATTCACAGCACCATTTCCTATCCTGAACTGAATTGCTCTTGATTAGTCTTACATCTTACTTAAGACAGTGTTTCCAATAAACTAAAATCCCTAGACATTTTTTTTCCCTCATGGTTGTCAGTGGAAAAATCTCCATTCAAATCATTTATTTATTTGTTTGTTTGTTTGTTTTGGGTTGGTCATGGGCTTGAACTCTGGACTTGGGCGCTGTCCCTGAACTCTTCAGCTCAAGGCAAGCGCTCTACTGCTTGAGCCACAGCGCTACTTCCGGTTTTCTAGTGGTTTATTGGAGATAAAAGCTAGCTTTGAACCATGATCCTCAGCCTCCTGAGTGGCTAGGATTACAGGCGTGAGCCACTGGTGCCTGGCCTTTTTTTTTTGGTCGGTCTTGGGGCTTGAACTCTGGGCTTGGGCACCATCCCTCAGCTCTTCAGCTCAAGGAAAGCACTCTACCACTTGAGCTACAGCACCACTTCCAGTTTTCTAGTGGTTTATGGAGATAGGAGTCTGTCTTTCCTGCTCGGGCTGGCTTTGAACCTCGATCCTCAGATCTCAGCCTCCTGAGTAGCTAGGATTACAGGTGTGAACCACCAGCAACTGGCCATTTAAATCATTTATATCTGGAACTTAAATACAGGACTTAGAAGTTATTCTTACAGCATTTGGGGAATAAAAGAAACTTGTTCAGCTGTATTGCTCATTTCCATGTATTGAAATTGATTTTCAAACAAGGTTATTTTATACAAATTCCAGTACTGGGCTGGGAAGACATCTCAGTGGTAGAGTGCTTGCCTCACACGCATGAGGCCCTAGGTTCAATTCCTCAGCACCACATATACATAAAAAGTCAGAAGAGGTGCTGTGGCTCAAGTGGTAGAGTGCTAGCCTTGAGCTAAAGAGCTGAGAGACAGTGCCCAGGCAGAGTTCAAGCCCCAGAACTGGCAAAAAACAAAAACAAAAACAAAAAAAACACTCCAATAAACCGGAAGTGGCGCTGTGGCTCAAGTGGTAGAGTGCTAGTCTTGAGCTGAAGAGCTCAGGGACAGTGCCCAGGCCCAGAGTTTAAGCCCTACCAGAGCCATTGAGATTAACATAGGTCCATTAACAGAATACTGAGTGATGGGAAAACTAGCAAACTTAGTGGCCCTCCCTATAAATCAACACTCACATCCTACACTACCATGTGTACTACATGTAAGTGACTTCCTTACAGAGGTAAGTTTGGTAAATGGTGGCAGAACTACTAATTGTACTCAGAACCCCATAAAGATAATAATGATGGGCTGGAGGTGTGGCTCAAGCACCAAAATGTCTGCTCAGCAAGCTTGTAGGCTTGAGTTCAAAATTCCAGACCACTAAAACACAACCAACCCACCAACCAACCACCAACCTCCATTAGGATACAAACATACTGGCTAGCAGAAGAGAAGGAGCCTTGCTCTATATACTGCTTTTGTGTGTGTGTGTGTGTGTGTGTGTGTGTACGCGCGTGCATGCATCAGTATGGAACATGAACCCAGTCCTCAAGTTTGTGCTTGGCTTTTTCACTCAAAGCTGATGTGCTACCGTTTGAGCCACACCTCTACTTCTGGCTTTTTGCTTATTAACCGTAGATAAGAATCACATTAATTTGGGCTGGGAAGGTGGCTCAGTGGTAGAGCACTTGCCTTGCATTCATGAGGCCCTGGGTTCGGTTCCTCAGCACCACATAAGCAAAACGAAAAAAGCCAGAGTGACGCTGTGGCTCAAGTGTAGAGCACTAGCCTTGAGCTGAAGAGCTGAGGGACAGCGCCCAGGCTCAGAGTTCAGGCCCTAGGACCAGACCACCCCCCCCCCCCCAAAAAAAAAAAAGAATCACATTAATTTGTCTGTCTGGGCTGGCTTTAATCTGTAATCCTCAGATTTCAGCCTCCTGAGTTCCTAGCATTACAGGTATGAAGCATCAGTGTGACTTGGCCTTCCTTAATCCCTTTCTTTCTCACTGTAATTGGGTAATGCTTGAACTGAGCTCTTATCTAAACAAAGCATCTTTTTTTTTGTCAGTCATGGGGCCTCAACGCTGGGTCTGGGCGCTGTCCCTCAGCTCTTCAACTCAAGGGTGAGCCACAGTGCTACTTCTGGCTTCTCTGCTTATGTGGTGCTGAGGAATCAAACCCAGGGCAAGCACTATACCACTGAGCCACCTTCCCAGCCCCCACAAAGCATCTTTTATCCTAAGATTTGCAGAGAAACATCCTGAATGACTTACAGTCTGTGTTTTCTTTCCTCTTCCTTTTTTTCATTTGTGTTGGACCTGGGGCTTGAACTCAGGGCTTAGGGGCTGTCCCTGAGCATTTTCAAGGCTAAGCACGCTACCATTTAGCTCCATTTCCAGCTTTTTGGTGGTTAGCTGGAGATAAGAATCTCGCAGATGGGGCTGGGAAGGTGGCTCAGTGGTAGAGCACTTGCCTTGCATGCATGAGGCCCTGGGTTCGATTCCTCAGCACCACATAAGCAGAGAAAAAACAAAAGCCGGAAGTGGCACTGTGGCTCAAGTGGTAGAGCGCTAGCCTTGAGGTGAAGAGCTGAGGGACAGCACCCAGGCCCAGAGTTCAGGCCCACGACCAGACCCACCCCACCCTCAGCTCCTCACAAAAAAAAAAAAAAAAAAAGAATCTCACAGACTTTCTTGCCCAGGCTGGTTTTAACTATAATCCTCAGAACTCAGCCTCTGCATAGCTAGGATTACAGATATGAGGTACCAGCACCTGGCTGGCTCTTTTTCACCAGAAAAAAATGAGACCTCACCTGGGTTGATGATTTCATCATCCTCACTGAACGTCACTCTTGAGTTCTTCCTCTTCCTCTTTGGTCTCTGAATGTCCAGATTTCCCTCCTCAATGGTGAGGGTTGAAATCCGCTTGTTGTGGGCAGTATTGAACTCTGTCAGGTTCTAGGCCAGGAAAAACAAAATAGTTAGTATACAGGGAATTTCATGGAGAAAATATCACTAAATTAAGGGTATAAAAGCATTTGTGGCTTACTCTGATCTCCAAAAGCAAACAAGACTCCCTCTGCTTTTAAAAAAGATCGGTAATGTCCAATATGCAATATGCAATACTAACAAGTCTCATTTAAAAAAAATGAGATCATCCTCATCAACTCATGAGGAGTGCTAGTCAGAAGGAAGTGTACAGGTCATTTGTGCAAATACCCTTGAATTTTTTGTTGATTTTTAGTGAAGGCTACATGATGAGGATTAAAGAAAATGACTGTGAAGAAGAGCAAGCATTTAAATTAAATAAACAGAATTGTGTAACAATTGAGAGATGAAAAAGGACAGCCAGGTACTGGTGGCTCACATCTGTAATCTTAGCTACTCACGAGGCTGAGATCTGAGGATCATGGTGTGAAGCCAGCCTGGGCAGAAACAGTTTGTGAGACTCTTACCTCCAATAAACTACTCAGAAAAGGCCAGAAGTGGTACTATGGCTCAAGTGGTTGAGCACTAGCCTTGGTTACAAAGAGGCTCAGGGACAGTGCCCAGGCCCTGAGCTCAAGCCCCAGGATTAGACCAAAAAAAAAGGACAACTCACTACTTCTCTCTTAGGGGCTTTCTCCTTTTCTTAAGGATACTACTGCCAGTGCACTTAATTTTTGGCATTAATATTTTGTCACTGTACTTTCTGTGCCTGCCCCAGTTCTATTCATAAGCACCCATCCATGTATCTTGATAATTAACCCGGCCTTAGCACTGCTGCCTATGTCTTCCAATCCATTGGACTTCTTCCAACCTGCAATGCAGTTTGAGAATGAAGTTTCAGAATGAAGACCCAGAAAGAACCTAACACACTGAACTAAAAGACAAAAAAAAAGCATGGAAGTGGCCTGGAGGAGGAAAAAAAGCAAGAATGATGGCTGCTTCTTCAGAACAAAATGACTTCTAAATTGTAAAGTTCCTTTTGAGCTTGGCAGTTAAGTTGCCTTGGTGTACAGGAATAGAAAATGGAGGTTATGTACTCACTTGCATTTGGTATGTCTGAACAAAATCACATCAGTACAGTGACAGGCATAGGAAGAATAGCCACATCACAAACCGCTGGGGTCAGCCTCCAGAAATGGAAAATTTAGGCTGAGCCTATGTCAGTGGCAGAGTGTTTGGAAAGCATAGGGCCATGAGTTCAGTCCCCAGAACCAAAATAAAAATATTTTTTAAGGGCTGGGAATATGGCTTAGCAGTAGAGTGCTTGTATAGCATGCTTGAAGCCCTGGGTTCAATTCCTCAGTACCACATATACAGGAAAAGCCAGAAGGGGTGCTGTAGTTCAAGTAGTAGAGTGCTAGCCTTGAGCACAAAGAGAAGGACAGTATCTAGACTCTGAGTTCAAGCTCCAGGACCAGCAAAAATAAATAAATAAATTACCACTCAAAATCTGGAAGGGGTACTATGGCTCAAAGTGGTAAAACACTAGCCTTGAGAAAAACAGCTCAGAGACAGCATCCAGGCTTTGAGTTCAAGCTCCACATAAACAACAACAGACTTTCAGGGATTCCAGAGCCAAAAGCAGTCTTTTCTATATCAGACACTTGGGCTATTTGGACAGTATCAAAACAGTTTGATAAGTGAATGAAAGTATTAGTTTTGGTGAGCCAGTACTGTTTAAAAGAACTTTCTATGGTGATAGAAATATAATGGTCCCAGGGTATTGAATGTGGATTGATTTCAAGATTTCTATTAGATATCAAAACCTACAAATGTTTTCAGTCCTTCAAATAAAATACATATAAACTTGGTACATCTTCCTATAGTTTAGATCATTTTCAGATTAATACTAATACAATGTAAATGCTGTAAAAAAAAACCTATATTGCTGAGAGTAATGATAAAAAAAAAGCCTGTTCTGTACATACATAACTTTCTCCCTCACTGAAAATATTCAATATAGAACCTGTAGACACAGAGTTGTATTTTCAACATGGTATCCACTAGCTATGTGACTACTACTGAATCCTTAAAATTTGCTTAGTGGTTACTACACTGGACAACATAACTCTGAAGCTGTCACAAAGACATAAAAATGTAAGCCCAAGTTTTGGCTTCTAATAGCCATGAAGGAGCCCAGGACACTTGGGAGGGTCCCCAGTGGCAGAGAGACTCAGGTACAGTTGGAAACATCACATTGCCACGGGCTTATTAATGGGCTTAAGAGAAGCTCCTGGGGCTGGGAAGGTGGCTCAGTGGTAGAGCGCTTGCCTTGCTTGCCTGAGGCCCTGGGTTCAATTCCTCAGCACCACATAAGCAAAAAAAGTCAGAAGTGGTGCTGTGGCTCAAGTGGTAGAGCGCTAGCCTTGAGTTGAAGAGCTGAGGGACAGCGCCCAGACTCAGAGTTCAGGCCCCACAACCAGACCCAAAAAAATAAAAAAAGAGAAGCTCCTGCTGCTAAGTCACTGGACTTCAAGCTACATAAGATAGTTAACTATGGACAGATCCATGATCCCAAAGACAAAACAATGAGATAGACATGGAATTACATCAAGTTCTGTTTCCTCTTCTGGAAGCCCCAGTAAGCCCTTGAGTTCATCATCCTCTCCACCCATCTTCTCATCTCCTTTCACAGCCGATGGCAATGTCTGAGGCTTCTCCCGCAGCGTGTACGCTCTTGTGGATGCGCCAAATGAGACCGTAGAATCGATGGGGATTTGCTGAGGTTTGTGAGGTTCCAGCCGAATATGACCCAAGAAAGTGCCATGTGCTGGGAAAAATCAAATCAAATCAGAAATGTAAGAGAAAAAAGAAAAAAAAATAGTTTGAGTTTTGGAAGGGATAGATCATCTTTGCCTCTCACATTGTTAGCTCTTCCCAGAATCACTTCTGCTTTTTTGTTAGTTTTTAAGTCATAAAAAATTTCACTCAAGATTGTGGTTGGAAAACAAATTTGCGTGCGTGTGTGTGTGTGACAGTACTGAGGACTGAAGCCAGAGCCACGGTGTGCATGCTAGGCAAGAGAGCTACCCTTGAGCTACAGCCCCAGCCCCTTGTTTTTGAAACTATGGCACTATGCAGTTCAAGCTGGCCTTGAACTGGGTATGTAACTCAGGATGGCTTCAAATGTGCAATTGTCTTGCCTCCACTTCCCAAATCCTGGGATTAAAAACTGATATGTGCAACCACACCCAGCAGAAAACAAGCTTTTAAAATGAAAATGGTACTGAAGCTCAACTCTCTTTAGATTTCTTTTTTTTCTGCTCATAGCTGGTACTCTACCACTTCAGCCATACATTGGTCCAGTTTTCGGCAATTAGAGATAGTCTTACTGGGACTTTTATGTCCAAGCTGGCTTCAAACCATGATCCATGGATTTCAGCCTCCTAAGTAGCTCAGTTTACAGGTGGGAGCTACAGGCACCCAGCTCTTTAGTGTATATCTTATACATCTTCAGACTTCTTACTCCCTCCCCACAAAAACACCATTGCCTTTTCTCTGCAATCAAATAGGCTTGCTCACATTTCGTGTCTAAATGAGTGGCTCCAATCCAGCAGAAGCCATGGACCCCAAGACAAGAAATGGGCATGACCATACTCTACCCTCTTCCAGCTCCAACTTTGAGCACCACAGAAATTGCCAGCCTTGTGGCAGCCATGCTTGCTTTCCCAGGTCAAGAAAGGCAATTGACCAATACAGGCACAACGTCAATGACAAAACAAACCAAAATCCTACCAGAGATTCTGAATATTTTTTCATTTTGCACGTTATAAAATGGAAAGAAAAGACCAGATAAGTACTTGAAGACCAGGCTCACCAGATCTCTGATATAAATAGACTGTGGAGGTAAGCATGTCTGTGTGTGTAGGCAGTGGGGTGGAGACCAGCGGAAGTCATAATAGGCCCAAGAACCAGAACTTTTTACATTCTGAACTTATAAATGGGCAAAACAGACAAACTTCATGAAACTAAAATGGATACAATTCCCAGTTAAATCAAAATGATGCTAGGATAAAGTAAGTATCGCTGACGTTTTCAGCACTGCTGTTATACTACATTAGGGAAACTAGTCATGGTCTCTTCTTCAAGTGGGCCTCAATCTTTTATGGTCTTATCTACGTTGGATAATACTTTCTAGTTCCTGGGTAATATTTTTGTTCCCTATACCTATGTACCTCATGCAAAAGAGTGTTCCTCAAAATGTTGTTCTGTCATTAACATAGTCTGTCATCACCTATAAAAGGAAGACAAGACATCACAGAAATAGAGAAAAGCTGATTTTTTTTTTTTGGTCGGTTGTGGGGGCTGAACTCTGGGCCTGGGCGCTGTCTCTCAGCTCTTCAGCTCAAGGCTAGCGCTCTACCACTTGAGCCAGTGTCACTTCCGGCTATTTTCTGCTTATGTGGTGCTGAGGAATCGAACCAGAGCCTCATGATGCAAGGCAAGCATTCTACCACTGAGCCAACTTCCCAGCCCAGAAAAGCTGATTTAAACAAAATAACAAACTTTTCCTTGGATGAGCAACAGAACATGTTTCTCAAACTAAGAACTCTAAGGGCATTTTCACACTGCTCACAGGAAAAACGAGCATGTGAAACAGGAGGGAAATACTTACTACTGTTGAGATCTATCAGGAAAACTCTCTTCAGATGCTTGTGGTAGACCAGAGCAGCGTGGACTCGGGAGCAAGACTGGTGGTCAATGGTAAAGTCACACAAATCAGGGTTTCTCCCAAATAAGTAATATTTCTTCTCATCAATAATCAGTTTCTAAATAAATATTAAATTAAATATTATTTAAGATCTTACTGCAACAGAATTACCAAATACTTTCAATCAAATAAGTATGTAATCCTTTGGTATGTGTGTATGTCAGTGCTGGGACTTGAACTCAGGGTCTAGGCACTGTCCCTGAGCTGCTTTTTGCTCAAGGCTAGCACTCTATCACTTGAGTCACAGCGCCACTTCTGTCTTTTTCTGTTTATGTGGCACTGAGGAATTGATCCAGGGCTTTAGCATGCTAGGCAAGCAAGCACTCTACCACTGAGACACATTCCCACCCTAAGTACATAATCTTAAGTAGATAAATTTCTTGCCCAGGAGAAAAACAAAAGAATCCTAGCTGTTTTTGTTTTTAATTAATTCTAAGGTATTAAAAATCAAGCCAGGCACCAGTGGCTCATGCCTATAATCCTAGTTACTAAGGAGGCTGAGATCTGAGGATTGGGGTTCAAAGCCAGCCTCAGCAGGAAAATCCATAAGCCTCTTATCTCCAATTAACCACCAGAAAAGTGGAAGTAGCACTGTAACTCAAGTGAAAGAGCAAGGGCCTTGAGCTGAAGAGCTCAGAGATAGCACCTAGGCCTAGAGTTCAAGGCCTAAGACTGATCAAAAATAAATAAGCTGGGCGCTGGTGGCTCACGCCTGTAATCCTAGCTACTCAGGAGGCTGAGATCTGAGGATCTCGGTTCAAAGCCAGCCCGGGCAGGAGAGACTGTGAGACTCTTATCTCCAATAAACCACCAGAAAACTGGAAGTGGCGCTGTAGCTCAAGTGGTAGAGCGCTCGCCTTGAGCTGAAGAGCTGAGAGACAGCGCCCAGGCCCAGAGTTCAAGGCCCACGACCGACAAAAAAAAAAATAAATAAAATAAATCAGTTCAGGTTTTGTTGTTGTTTTGGGTTATTTTTTTTGTACTGAACAATGGTCCCATAGTCTTCTCTGTATCATGCTCCTAAGCAATCTTTTCATTTGTTGCATATTAATTCCTAAAGTCAGTATCTAGTATTTTCTCTTTGGGCAAAGAGAAAAAGCATTTCAGTCCATTAGTTCACCTACTGACTGAACATGGATCAACTCTGCTATTACAATGCCATCAATGTGAACATGGATCAACTCTGCTATTACAATGCCATCAATGTGAACATGGATCAACTCTGCTATTACAATGCCATCAATGTCTTGAATGTGAGTCTAGCTATTGCCCTAGCTCCTCCAGATTTTCCAAGTTTAGGGAAAGAGAATGAGGGGGACTATTATGGAAGAACTGTTAATGCTAGGTATTTTAAACACAACCTCATCTAATTCCTCAAAATGATTTTGTGAAGCAAGTATTATTTCCACTGTTAAAGAGGTTAGAGAGATAAGCTAGGCTACAGTGGCTCACACCTGTAATGCTAACTACTCAGGAAGCTGAAATCTGAGGACTGTAGTTCAAAGCCAGCCAAGGCAGGTAAGTCTGTGAGACGCTTGTTTCCAACTACATAAAAGCTGGAAATGGAGCTGTAGCTCAAGAAGTAATTGCTAGCAAAAAAGCTCAGGGACAGTGCCAAGCCCTGAGTTCAAACCCCAGAACTGGCATAAAATAAAATAAAATAGGTTAGAGAGATTACTGACTTGAACTGCTAATACTTGAAACGATGTACTATAAGTCTGGAAAAATTCAAAGTGAAGAGCTCCACAATGATTTCAGTTACCAGTTCTCTAGTTTGGCCACTTAATAATCCTCATTTGATTGGGCTGGGAAGGTGGCTCAGTGGTAGAACGCTTGCCTTGCATGCCTGAGGCCCTGGGTTCGACTCCTCAGCACCACATAAGCAAAAAAGAAAAAAGCCGGAAGTGGCGCTGTGGCTCAAGTGGTAGAGCGCTAGCCTTGAGCTGAAGAGCTAAGGGACAGCGCACAGGCCCAGAGTTCAGGCCCCATGACTGGACTCCCCCTCAAAAAAATAATAATAATCCTCATTTGAATATGCTGCCTTTTTCCTTAGAGGGGAAGATCTCTAGTTCACATTTCACATTCTACACCACCTAAAATCCTTGAGAAACTAGGTGTGGTGACACATATTTACTCACGAGGCTGAGCAGGAGATGTATGTTAAGGCAATGAATTTTTTAAGGAGTACTGTGGGTCATATCCTTAATTTTTTTCCCCTTTGTTTTTAAAAAAATTTAATTGTAGGGGCTGGGAAGGTGGCTCAGTGGTAGAGTGTTTTTGCCTTGTATGTGTGAGGCCCTAGGTTCGATTCTTCAGCACCATATAAGCAGAAAAAGCAGGGAGGGGTGTTGTGACTTAAGTGGTAGAGCACTAACCTTGAGCTGAAGAGCTGAGGGACAGTGCCCAGGCCCAGAGTTCAGGCCCCACAACCGACAAAAAAAAAAAAATAAATAAATTTTTTTAAATATAAAATTTTAGGGGCTGGGAAGGTGGCTCAGTGGTAGAGCACTTGCCTTGCATGCTCGAGGCCCTGGGTTCGATTCCTCAGCACCACATAAGAAAAAAGCTAGAAGTGGCGCTGTGGCTCAAGTGGTAGAGGGCTAGCCTTGAGCTGAAGAGCTGAGGGACAGCGCCCAGGCCCAGAGTTCAGGCCCCACGACCAGACCCCCTCCCAAAAAAATATATATAAAATTTTATTGTTATTTTTAAGGTATTATACAGAGGAGTTACCATTTCATAATTCAGGTAATTTTTATTTTTGAACAATGTTACCCTTTCCTTTGCTCTCCCCAAGTTTTCCTTTCCTGTCCCTGCCCAACAAGTCACAGAGTTTATTTTCCACACAGTATACTTAAAAACTACTTCTCTAGTTTCTTCCAAGCCTCGCTTTAAGGTTCAATTTATTCAAGGTAGCCTATGTATGTAGGTTACGTGGGAAGACCTGTGCAGCAGTGTCCATCGGCCACGTGGCCGAGCTTGTTCCAGGCACATATACTACTCCAGAGCGTTAAGATTAAACAACAGCCTGATAGCAGAATCATACAGTCACCCTCTGTATGCTCTGATCTAACCTTAAAGACTTCGGTTAAAAATACAATATTATGAAGGGGTGACGCTGATCAAGCTGCACTATATTCATAAACTTTTATTAAATGGCAACTCCTTTGTCCAACTACTTAAGAGGCTGAGATGTGAGGATCACAATTTGAAGCCAGCCAGCAGACAAATTTAGTAGTCTCTTATCTCCAATTAACCATCAAAAAGCTACAAACAGAGGTGTATCTCAAGTGGTAGAATACCAGCCTTAAGCAGAAAAAGCTAACACACACACACACACACACACACGCACACGCACACGCACACATACACACACAGAGAGCCTGGGAAACTAGTAAGATCCTGTCTCCTACCTTCCAACAAAACAAACAACAACAAAAAAGACATTGTTTTACAATTAAAGGAGAGCACTGGAATGGTAACACCTTATTCTCTTGTTGAATTTTACTGCATTTTTCATTTATATTTACATGTACAATTCTGCTCTCAACAAACTTAAATGTGCTTACATCAGTTCTCACAGTGGGTCACAGGCATAAGACAGACCACCAGTTCTTGTGTTCTTAAGTAATGAGAACCAGAATTCTATGGCTCTAGGTTTCCAAATACATATCAGTGATTGAAGAATTTGTTTTTGGTAAGAAGAAAAGGACTCCCAAGTTAAAGGTACATATTCACTATTAAAGGCACCTCAACTGCAGAAATATTAAGTATGGAATTTTAATGGAAAATAGAAGTCAGAACTAAAAAATGTGTAAATCATGGGGCTGGGAAGGTGCTCAGTGGTAGAGTGCTTGCCTTGCATACAGGAGGCCCTGGGTTCGATTTCCTCAGCACCACATAAGCAAAAAGAAAAAAGCCAGAAGTGGCTCTGTGGCTCAAGTGGTAGAGCGCTAGCCTTGAGCTGAAGAGCTGAGGGACAGTGCCCAGGCTCAGAGTTCAGGCCCCACGACCGGACCCCCCCCCCCCCCCCCCCACACAAAAAAGCGTAAATCAGTGAATGAAGTAACACATTGATCTCTCTATAGTCATTAAAGCCATAACTTCTTAAGGGAGTAGCTGTGTCTACTTAAGTTGTGCCTATGAGTTATAACTCAGAGTGTGTCTTTATACTCTGGGCTTAACAGACTCATGGCTTGTTTTAATATTGCACTTCTTCTACCCAGCTATCACCACATATCACAGGCCTTGGACACAAGGCTAGGATATAGATAGCTCGGTGAGTATCAAGTGCTGATGAAGTTTAAATCCTTAAAAAATAAAAAAATAAACAAATAAACACCTCTGAGCTAGGGATGCATCTCAGTAGTAGAGCACTTGCCTAGTGCATGAGGCACTGGGTTTGATCCTCAGCACTGCAGAATAAATACATAAATGAACACATACACACATCTCAGGTTTATTCCGGTCAAGAACAGTATAGAATAACTAAGGATTATAACATGACAATTCTGTGGCAACTCAACACATCTAAAAGTACTGACATGCCAGGTACCAGTGGCTCATACCTGTAATACTAGCTACTCAAGAGGCTGAGATCTGAGGATCACGGTTCAAAGCCAGCCTGGGCAAGGAAAGTCCGTAAGACTCATATCTCCAATAAACCACTAGAAAACCAGAAGTGGCACTGTGGCTCAAGCAGTAGAGCTCTCACCTTGAGCTGAAGAGCGCAGGGATAGTGCCCAAGCCCAGAGTTCAAGCCCCATGACCGACAAAAATAAATAAATAAAAGTACTGACAGAAAATGTTATTAGCAAATGAAAAAGGTTAAGTGAGAGCATGAGGCCTTGAATTCAAGCTCCAGTACTGGCACATGTACATACGTATGCACGTGCACCCATACACAGAGTGGTTCTAAATAAGTGAGTTTTGAAAATAAATTATTTCACAGAGGAATGTGATGTTATTATTAAAATTAGGTCTGCTAAGTGGCGCTGTGGCTCAAGAGGTAGAGTGCTAGCCTTGAGCTGAAGTGCTCAGGGACAGCACCCAGGCCCAGAGTTCAAGCCCCATGACTGACAAAAAAAAAAAAAAAGAATGTCTTCATTTTGGGGCTGGGAAGGTGGCTCAGTGGTAGAGCGCTTGCCTTGCATGCATACGGCCCTGGGTTCGATTCCTCAGCACCACATGAGCAGGAAAAAAAAAAGCCAGAAGTGGCACTGTGGCTCAAGTGGTAGAGTGCTAACCTTGAGCTGAAGAGCTGAGGGTCAGCGCCCAGGCCCAGAGTTCAGGTCCCACAACTGGACCCAAAAACCAAAAAACCCCTAAAATTAGGTCTGCTGCTTGTTTCTTTCTTCCTGTTGCAAACTAAACATTTACTAAATTCTAGAAACAAAATGGATTTCTAAATGTTTTCAAGGTTTATGCTGTTCAACATGGCAACAAAAATCTTAATTGTGGAAGCATCTATAGTAATACTGGCTTTACAGATACTTATAGTTAAATTATTTCCTTGAACAATCTTGATATTTTTGAATGTTAAAAGAATTGGGTGTCAGTGGTTGATACCTGTAATCCTAGCTACTAAGGAAGCAGAAAGCCACAGGCTTTCAGTATGAAACCACCTTATGTAGAAATTCCTTAAGACTCCAGCTCCAAATTAACCAGCAAAAAGCCAACCTGGAGGTATGGTTCAAGTAATATAATGCAAGTAGAGTGAGTAAATTGAGCAAGGGTGAAGCTGAGTTCAAACCTGAGTAACAGTAAATCTAATCACCCATGACAAAGGAGCTCTGAATGACAGGCTGGATACATGCTTAATTAGGAGCAGAACTCATTTCAACTCATGTTTGCCTTCATACTTTGTAACACTGCTTATTACAACATCCTAAGTATGACAGTAATATATATCCTTTGGATATCACTAAGGTTTAGCATATAACTCAGTAGTATAGTTCTTACCTAGTGTATATTAAGCTCCAGGTTCAGTCTCCAGCAACACAAGACAACACAACACACACACACACACACACAAATTCACTAGCTTTTCAAGCTAGTAATCATAGAATTGCAATGATTTTACTATATACATCAAACAAAAACAACTGTCCTCAATAATGGGGATTTGAACTTAATTCCAGTGGAATAACCAGTGGGTTTAATCTCCATTTCTTGGAAACTAACAATGAAGACATTAACAAACAAAACAAAACAAAAAAAACCCTGACACAATTAAGAGTTATCAAAACTCAGGTTGCCGTGAAATTCTATATGGTATACACTCTAAAAACTGACATAAACGCTGGGCTGGAATTCTGCTAAACTTTTATTTTACAGTACTCACCTCAACTGTAGTTACATAATTTTTGTGTGTGATTCTGTTCTCCTTTTTTTTTTTTTTGGTCAGTCGTGGGACATGGAACTCGGCCCTAACACTTGAGCCACAGTGCCATTTACGGCTTTTTCTGCTTATGTGGTGCTGAGGAATCGAACCCAGGGCCTCATGCATGTTAGGCAAGCACTGTACCACTGAGCTAACTTCTCAGCTCCCCATTAACTGTTTTGAATGAATGATTTTACTATCATTTCCTTATCCTTTTTGACCAAGTAGCTAACTTTATCATAGTTCTTTGGAGGAGCTAGACCTGAATCTCATAAAAACAACTTTCAAGTTTAATTCAATCTATATCTTCATTTTCTTTTTCAGTTGTTGCCTCCTTGTTCTTTCCACACAATTCCATGTACTCACAGGAATTCACAAATTAGAGTGCTTCCAGTTTGTAATAAGGCCCATAGGCCCAAGACCTATTGAAACTGTTCATTTGGAAGGTGAGAGGGAAAAAAAAAGCTCAGTGTCTGTAGGATATGAGCTTTGTTTAAATGTGTTATATCATCATGAGCTTTTAATAGGAAAACTCAGGATGAACAAAAGTAGCATTGCCAGAAAACAAAGCACAGGAGAGGAGGTGGAAAAGTGAGTCACTGCAAAAATCTTCAGAATGGGGGGGGGGGGGGGGGGGGGGGGGGGGAGAAGACATTTATTTCCATACCTCAATTAGCTTATCTCCTTTGACTACATCCAGATGTAAGCCAGGTGGGGGCTTACCTGCCCTGTAAAAGAGTTAAAAATGCATTTTCAGGATGAGTTCATAAATATCATTTACAATCTTTGTTTCATTCAACATCACTGCTCTTTTTTTTTGTCAGTCTTGGGGCCTGAATTCTGGACCTGAGCACTGGCCCTCAGCTCTTCAGCTTAAGGCTAGCGCTCTACCACTTGAGACATAGTGCCACTTCCAGTTTTAAAAGTCTCATGGACGCCGGGCGCTGGTGGCTCACGCCTGTAATCCTAGCTACCCAGGAGGCTGAGATCTGAGGATCGCGGTTCAAAGCCAGCCCGGGCAGCAAAGACCGTGAGACTCCTATCTCCAATAAACCACCAGAAAACCGGAAGTGGCGCTGTAGCTCAAGTGGTAGAGCGCTCGCCTTGAGCTGAAGAGCTGAGGGACAGCGCCCAGGCCCAGAGTTCAAGCCCCACGACCGACAAAAAAAAAAAAGTCTCATGTACTTTCCTGCACAGCTAGCTTTGAACCATGATCCTCAGATCTCAGCCTCCTGAGTAGCTAGGATTCAGGCATGAGCCACCGGCGCCGGGCATCGCTGTTCTTCTATAAGCCTATAATTAGTTCATGTGCAAGTAGAAACATCCATCTACTTCACTATTATAGTGCCTTTCCACATTGACACTTCCCAAGGGATTCAACTGCTCTAAAAAGAGATTTTGGTATATCTGAATTTAGAGCAGCACCAAAGAGACCTATATTTTAACACTGGATATTCACTTTAAAGGTAAAACAGCATAGATGCTAAGTACTATGGTTGGGATAGGCCCATCACCTGGAGTCTGCTATTACCTTAATATCATAGAAAGTTAGAATGAGTTAGCTGTTTTGAGCTGATCAAGATTAGTCTCAGCTGGGTGCTCATGGCTCAGGCCTGTAATCCTAGCTACTCTGGCATTGAGATCTGATATATATATCTATCATATATATATATATATATGATAGATATAGATATATATACGAGAGAGATATATATAGATAGATTACATATATGTATAGTTCCCAAAGAGTCTCATATATATATTTTTTGGGGGGGGGGGGGAGGGGAGGGGTCATGGGGCTTGAACTCTTGGCCTGGGAGCTGTCCCTGAGCTCTTCAGCTCAAAGCTAGCACTCTACCACTTGAGCCACTTTGGGTTTTCTGAGAGGTTTACTGGCGATAAGAATCTCAAGGCCTTTCCTGCCCCAGCTGTCTTTGAACTGCCACCCTCAGATCTCAGCCTCTTGAGTAGCTAGGATTACAGGCGTGAGCCACCATGCCCCGCTGTTGTATTTAATACGCTGTCCCAAATTTAAAATCAATGAAGTCAGAGACCAAATGGACAAAGAAGTTGGAGGCTGAAGCAAATGGAGGTTATAAAAGTGCAAAGAAATCCAGAAAGTAGCCACACATACACACACACACACACATTCACTTGCTTCCTTTGCTCAGGGCTCCTACATGAGAAATATATCTAATCTATCTAATTGAAGATGCAACATCATCTCAATAATGAATGATGCTCAAACCTTTTTATGGCAATAGTTTAAAGGACAGTGAACTGGACAAAAGCCCAATTTTATCTGGGAAATAGAAAAAGGAATTACATTTGAAATGCATTTCGGAATGCCCGCTATGTAATCGCCTCAGGCCTAGGAGCTGCGGATACAGATGCATGCACATATCTGTGCCCTTGCAGAGTTCAACATGGGGGTGTGTGTGTGTGAAGAAGAACAAGTAACATGTTAACGATATACAGTAATGAGCTACAAGGGGTAAAAGCTCTAACTCGGGTGTGTCTCGCTTGCAAAGCAACTCACATTTATTCATCTTCTACCTCCTCAAAAGACTTAAATCGGCCCACCACTCCCAAGAACTTTCCAAGGACTGAAAAAGATTTCATTCCAACAATTCCTGCCATCTTTTGTGCCGAGCTTCCTGCTGGGCACTGAGAACAAGGGGGTCAGGTTGGCGCCATCCCTGTCCTCAGGGAGCTCCCAGTCCCGGAGGGGGAGGGGGACGCGGGGCGGCTCCCCACGCGGGACGGGATGCAGCCCGACACGAGGGAGGGCCGCGGGGCTCCGAGGCGGGCCGGGCCCTGGGGGGCCGGGGCGGCTGCACAGCAGTCAGGAGTTGGGGGTTAAGTTAAGGACCAAGGTCCGGGGCACCCCGGCAAGCGCTTGGGCGCCCTCCGGACTGTTAAAACGAGCTCCTTGGGGGCCCCAACCCGTGGATCGGGAGCAGTTCTGGGCCCGCGCTCCAGGCTCCGGTTCCTCCACACGGCGCCCGGCCCCGCACGGGGACAGTTTTCCCCTGTCACTTCGGGGTCTTTGAGCCGTACGTTCAGTCACAAAAAGAGAGCCGCCCTTCCTGCCCAGGTTAGGTCCAGCCGGCCCATTCCGAGCCCGGCAGCCGCACTACTCACCAGGTCGGGCAGTCGAACAGCGGGAGGCTAGAGCCGGAGTTCGCGGCTGCCGCCATCTTGCGTCTCCCCCTCCCATTTGGCGGGCCCGAAGCACGCCGGGAAACTGGGAGACCGGGAGGGAAGAGGTGACATCCCAGCAGCCTGTGCGCAGTCACGCACGCAGGCAGGCGCGCGCGCGCGCGCGCACGTACCCACGCAGGCACGTGGGGCGGTGCTTTTCAGTGGGTCAGATTTTGAAGTCTACGCCGGCTTCCGGGAGTTAGTGAAGGTGGCTTCTCTCCGGGAGGGAAGTGTCGGAGGACTACGGACGGAAACCACGGCGTCCCGCTACTTCCGCCTGCAGAAAAACCGACATCATCCCCTAAGGCTTGCCCTGACATCCCGTCAGCCATTGGTCCTCAATATAGAGGAAAATCGGAGGGCGAACCTCGAGACGGTGGCCATCAGTCTTCTTTCTCCTGTGCAGGCCCTCCTCCTGGAAGTCTGGGCCTGGAGGGCTTCCGTAGAGTACATGGGAATCTATCCTAGGGGAAACCTAGTATGCTTATGAAAACTAGACGCCTGCATCCAAACTTAGATCCGATCCGAAGGCCGGTGTTCCAAACTTCACTGTGCACAGCTCAAACGGTTAGTCAAGTGTGGGCTCTTAGATTTTGAGCATTGAGATTGCGGTCTTGCCCTAGGCCACAGGATGGGTAAAGGGAACCCCCAAGGCACAGCCTCTGGTTGCAATGTCTACTGAGTGATTATGTACCTAGACAAGTGTTTTTCCTGGAGCTTGGGCGCTATCCCTGAGCAATTTTGCCCAAGGCTGGAACTCTGCCACTTGCCACAGCTCTACTCAGGCTTTTTGGTGGTTAATTGGAGCAGAGTCGCAGACTTTCATGCCTGAGCTTGCTTCAAACTGCGGTCCTCAGATCTCGGCCTCCAGTGTAGTTTGGATTACAGGCGTGAGTCACTAATGCCCCGCTTCCCCTTTTCACTTTTACAGAAAATTTGGGACGATCTTCCGACCTGCAGATAATCACTATCCAACCAGAAAGAGGCAGTCCCTCATGAAGCTAAGGAATCTCTAAGATGAAAGTATGTTTTCTTGATTCCTTCCTACTAGTCTTAAATAGAAAATTAACCTGTTTTGAAAACTTTTTGCCCAGGATGAAATCTCCAAGCCTTCTGATCAAACCACAACATACCAACTAAAGTTTTAAAATTACCACCTTTTAGGTAGTTTGGAAAAATTATCCTTTCCTCTAGCGCATGCTTGAATACAAATCATCCAGCAAGAATGGTAACTAATCAGATCATTTATCAATAAATCATTTTCAGCCTTGTGATTCTTTTTTTTTTTTTTTTTGGTCGGTCGTGGGGCTTGAACTTTGGGCCTGGGCACTGTCGCTCAGCTCTTCAGCTCAAGGCAAGCGCTCTACCACTTGAGCCACAGCGTCACTTCTGGTTTTCTGGTAGTTAAATGGAGATAAGAGTCTCACAGACTTTCCTGCCTGGGCTGGCTTTGAACTGAGATCCTCATCTCAGCCTTCTGAGTAGCTAGGATTACAGGTGTGAGCCACAGGTGCTCGGCTATAGAGTGACATTTCTTTACCCTCCACAATACTACACCTTTATTTCTTTTAAGAGAGATACTAGGTTATGCAATACTCCTAGACCATTCTAATAAAGAAAGCAGGACCAGAGATGAGAAAAGAAAATGAATACAAGGGTAAACATACAATTTACACCATTCGTCTGTTCAAACTAAATCATAGCCATCTTTATTCAGAGATGTTATAGCTAGAAAAGAGCTGCTGAGAAAAACTGACACTTACCCAAATATCTCTGGCAATCTAAAAACAGGACTTTTTGCACCCCAGTCTAGTTTATCACCTCCAAACCACTGGTTTTCACCCATGATTGTTCATACCTAGAACTGATCTCTGTAACTTCAAATATCTAGAACTTAAAAAAAAATCCTTATTTCAAAAATATACTCTAAGTGAATCTAGAATCTTGGAGTAGGGGAAGGACCAAGGTATTAGGACTTTTTGAAGCTTCTAATGTAGTCGGATGCTGGTGGCTCACGCCTGTAATCCTAGCTATTTAGGAGGCTGAGATCTGAGGATTGTGGTCCAAAGCCACCCCAGGCATAAAAGTCCCCATATCTCCAATTAACCACTCAAGAACCGGAAGTGGCATTGTGGCCACTAGTCTTCAGCACAAAGAGGCTCAAGGATAGCAGCTAGGACCTGAGTTAAAGCCCCATAGCTACTGTAAAATCATAGTTAAGAACCACTGTCCCAAACCACAATGTCCCTGCAGATATCTAGGCCAGGCACAGATAAGGAAGGTTCTGTGAATAGGTATATTAGGACTGTCTTGTAGGTCCCCAATGGCAACTGTCACAAATTTTAGGCCAAGTTCATATTTTCCTTTTTCTATAACCACCCTTACAATCACTACAGGTCAATTACACAGTATTATAAAACGAGGATGTCCTATTCTACCCAAATTCAATTAGTTTTTTTGGTCAGTCATGGGGCTTGAACTCTGGGCCTGGGTACTCTTCCTCAGCTCTTCAGCTCAAGGCCAGCACTCTACCACTTGAGCCACAGTGCCACTTCCGGTTTTCTGAGTGGTTTATTGGAGTTTCTTGCCTGGGCTGGCTTTGAACGGCAATCCTCAGATCTCAGCCTCCTGAGTAGCTAGGATTACAGGCATGAGCCATCGGCGCCTGGCTCAAATAGTTTTTCACAGTAAGTACTTTCGTTACTGGAATGTTTTGCAAATGATCTATCCAAGTCCAACTGTAATATGGAGCTAAAAGGGGAGTGATCATAGAACCAGGAAGTCATCTCAGAAGTTGCTGTTTGGGTCACTGTGCAACCCAACCCTCCTGCCTGGTTATTGGTGCCACTTACAGGGTTTGAGCTTAGTGCTTTCTCAGAGCAGTTTTGTTCAAGGCTAGTACTCTACCACTTCAGCCACAGCTCCACTTCTAGCTTTCTTGGTGGTTAATTGGAAATAAGTCTCATGGACTTTCCTTCCTGGGCTGGCTTTGAAAACTGCAATCCTCAGATCTCAGCCTCCTGAGTAGCTAGGATTATAGAGGTGAGCCATTGGCATCTGGCTTGTTCTTTATTTTTTGGCAGCCTCAAACTTGGCAACCTTCTTTTTCAACTTCCATTACAGGCTGCCACAACTGCCTTTGTCCAGTTTTTTTTGTTGTTCTTGTTGTTGGTTGTGGGACATGAACTTCGGACCTTGGTGCTGTCCCTGAGCTTTTTCACTCAAGGCTAGTACTCTACCACTTTGAGCCACAGCACCACTTCTGGTGTTCTGGTACTTAATTGGAGATAAGAGTCTCACAGACTTTCCTGCCCAAACTGAATTTGAACCTCAATTCTCAGATCTCAGCCTTCTAAGTAGCTAGGATTATAGGGGTGAGCCACCAGCGCCCGGCTCTGTCCAGTTTTTCAAGGAATCCTTATCTAGTCTCCAGTCTTCAAAGTCTGTTTTTTAAAATTTCCTGACAACACCTACTTCATGAGGATGTTAGTCACAAAAAAGTACTACAAAAGATTTTTTAATGTTTATTTGTGTTAAGGAAGTAGGATGGTGTAAAAGTGCAGAGACATATGCATTTGAGCCCTTGTTTCTCTACTGTTCACATTCATATAGAATAAGGAGATGGATGAAGTAACATGAAGGGGAGTGGAAAAAATGGATATAAATATACCTGAAGTGGCTAGATCCTCTTAAGTCACTAAAGGATGGGCTGAAATTCTTGGCCTAATTCACATTCATGTAAGAGCCTCAGCCAATTATGTTCCCTTGAACTGTTCTAGCCCTTGAATAAGGGAAGTGGACAACATTTATATTACAAGACATCAATCTTTTATTGTAACTTTGTCTAAAACTATGCACAGAGAGAGTAACCTCTTGTTCATAAATTAGGATAAATCTAACACCAATAAACCAGTATTATTTACAAAAATGAACCTTTTTTTGCTTTATCATCAGGTTCACAAAGCTAAGTCTTTTTTTGGGTCTGGTCGTGGGGCCTGAACTCTGGGCCTGGGCACTGTCGCTCAGCTCTTCAGCTAGTGCTCTACCACTTGAGCCACAGCGCCACTTCCGGCTTTTTTCTTTTTGCTTATGTGGTGCTGAGGAATCGAACCCAGGGCCTCAGGCATGCAAGGCAAGCGCTCTACCACTGAGCCACCTTCCTAGCCCCACAAAGCTAAGTCTTAAACCCAAATATAGTTTGACTTTTAAAATCTTCCTGCTATCAATTGCCCAGCAACTCTTATAGGGTCAGAGCAGCTTTCGGACAGGAATACTCATCATTCACCAGGAATGTTAAAGCCACAGCAAACAAGACAACAAAAAGATCAAATCATCCTGAACAATTCCTATCTGCTTTTCAAAAGCATGCTATGTCTAATTCTCCTGACCTATGCAGACAGATGGGAGAGGGACATCATTGAATATATTAATGTTAATTCAATTATCCTTAAAAAGGGATTGGAACCAAGCATTGGTGGCTCATGCCTGTAATCCTAGTTACTCAGGAGGCTGCGATCTAAGGATTGCAGTTCAACGCCAAACCAAGCAGTAAAGTCTGGAAGAGGTGCTGTGGCTCAAGTGGTAGAATGCAAGCCTTGAGCACAAAGAGGCTAAGGGACAGTACTCAGGCCCTCAGTTCAAACCCCAGGACTGCAAAAAGAAAGAAAAGGGAGAGCAGGATGGCTTCATGTGTATAAGGATGAACTGCTGTGAAGGACACTAGCAGATAATAAAGTCAATTTTAAGTCCGGATTATAACACAAACCCCAGCAACTAGCCAGCTCAAATAGATAGGATACTGGTCATTTAATCTGAATCACATGTGCAAGTTTTGTTACTTTCCAGGAAATGTAGTGCCAAAATCTTCCAAACAAAGAACAGATTTCTTAGAAATTTAAATTAAAGTATTAAATAATAAAAATTGCTGGATTATTTACAGTTTCTGACAGACTCCAATAATGCCAGATGCTAGAAAGAAATGCATCTCAATTGCTAGTAAAAAGGCAAATTTTATATACACATAAAAAGACAATATTATGAGACTGTAGTGTCACCTGTCAGAAAGAATATCTAGAATGGAGTTTTCAGTAAACACTTGAAGGGGAGGGCAATCAGAATACAAGGAAAGCAAAATTCACATAAGTTAATTCCTAATTTGAGAAATCAACAACATGTATACATAAATTGATAAATACTGTCTCCATAGGTCACTAATTTCAAGGACTAGTTAGTAGTTAGTTTCTAACTAAATGATTACAGGACATTCTGGTATACGCGGCCTTCTTGGGATCAGTTTTGTTCTGGTAAGCCTCCGGCAAGCACTTGCCCTGGAAAACAACTCAGCAGGAGAAGGCTCTGAGGCAATCACACTTCATTTAGAAACTTGCCAGATAATAACAGCCAAGACTGTAATAATCACCGACAGGACAAGCACCAGGATACACATCTTCTTGCGAGATTTTTTCTGAGGAAAGAAATATGTAGAGAAGACACTTGTGAAACGAGTAAAATGTTTTATATCTGAGACTTCAACAGTGTGTCAGGAATCTGCCTCTTTGTAATTCACAATTTTCTCTTTCTGGGCTGGGAAGGTGGCTCAGTGGTAGAGTACTTGCCTTGCATGCATGGGGCCCTGAGTTCGATTCCTCAGTACCACATAAGTGGAAAAAGCCGGAAGTGGTGCTGAGGCTCAAGTGGTAGAGTGCTAGCCTTGAGCTGAAGAGCTGAGGCACAGCGCCCAGGCCCAGAATTCAGGCCCATGACCAACAAAAAACACAAACACACACAATTTACTCTTTCCATACACAAATCAAGACACAGATACCTTTGCCAAAAATCTCAGTAGTCCCCAGCACTAGGGAATAGGGTGAGTTTTAACTGTTCTCAAATGCAACTTTGCAAAGAAGTTATAGTTATGTTGCTAGATATTATTCATAAAAATTATTTGTGCATATGTTCTCATTTATTTTTGCACCAGTACTGGGGCTTGAACTCAGGGCCTAGGTGCTGTCCCCTAGCTTTTTCAACCAAGGCTGGTGCCACTCTTCCACTTGTGCCGCGCTTCCAGTTCCATCACACAGTTTTCATTTTTTACAATTTATTATTATTATTGTCAGTCATGGAGCCTGAACTCTGGGCCTGGGCGCTGTCCCTCAGCTCTTCAGCTCAAGGCTAACACTCTACCACTTGAGCCACAGCGCCACTTCCGGCTTTTTCTGCTTATGTGATGCTGAGGAATCAAACCCAGGGCCTCATGCATGCAAGGCAAGCGCTCTACCACTGTGCCACCTTCCCAGACCAGGAAATACTATTATTAAACACAAACTTCCATAAGAGCATTTTCCAGATAAATTTTGGCTACTGTAGGAATGCAGAAAATAACTGATATCTTTAGGAACATGGAAAAATGACCAAAATGCTATGTACTTCTAAGAAACCATGCAACACTAAATTGAGGACCTCATTCACAGTATCTGAGATAAAGACCTAAAAAAAATCAGAAGCAGGACTGGGAACGTGGCTTAGTGGTAGAATACTTGCCTTGCATACATGAAGCCCTGGGTTCGATTCCTCAATACCACATACATAGAAAAAGCCAGAAGTGGTACTTGTGGCTCAAGTGGTAGAATGCTGGCCTTGAGCAAAAGAAACACAGGGACCGTGCCCAAGTACTAAGTTCAAGCCCATGGACTGGCAAAAAAAAAAAATCCTAAGAACTTTAACTAATATGTAGAGGAATTTAACTTTATAGGCACAGTCCCATACTGACTATGCACTATTTATTTACATATGAATGGCCATCATAGTTGAGTCTATGGCCATTCCCTATGGCAATATTCAACATACAGTATCTGGAGCCCTATATTACCTGCACTTCTAAACTATCCTAATGGAAACAAGGGTTCATGTCACTAAATACCAGCCACACTAAGATGTAGAACTTTTTTTTTTTTTTTTTTTTGCCAGTACTAGGGCTTGAACTCAGGGCCTGAGAACCATCCCTGAACTTCTTTTTTGCTCAAGGCTTGCACTCTACCACTTGAGCCACAGCACCACTTCTGGCTTTTTCTGCTTATGTGGTGCAGAGGAATCGAACCCAAGGCCTCATGCATGCAAGGTAAGCACTCTACCACTGAGCCACCTTCCCAGCCCTGCAGCTGAGTCTTCTACATAAGTGTATTCAAGATTTGATGGTTTTGTAGATCTCATTACAAAGAGAAATACTAAAAAGTATAACTAGGGCTGTAAATTATGATTCCTTGTCTCCAGCTTAAGTCCAAGCAAGAAATTAAACCTGTTTTCAGTGTTCCCTGAACACTGAAAGTCTGCAGCCCAGAGGGACTTTGTTGGACACCAGCTTTTACCTGATAGTAAGCAGCTTGCTGTAATTGGTCAGTGGCTCTTTCCACATGCACTTCTGAGCTTTCTACATTGGCTTCTATGCTATCTGCAAGAAAGACAGTAGACAGCTTTAGCACATGCAGGTGTTTCAAGACTGTAAGCTGAACAGATTTCTGACATTGTGGGGTCCTGGATTCACTATCACCACCTAAACTGTCCATGAAACCAAAAGACACTACCTTGGTGAGAGAACAGCACTATTCAATAGAGATTAAAAACTTAGGCATTTAGGGGTAAGGGACAGCGTAGCACATGAAATCCACCTATAAATGGACCAGATAGGAGCTGGGAAGGTGGCTCCATGGTAGAGCGCTTGCCTTGCATATGCATGAGGCCCTGGGTTCAATTCCTTAGCACCACATAAGCAAAAAGAAAAAAGCCAGAAGTGGTGCTGTGGCTCAAGTGGTAGAGCGCTAGCCTTGAGCTGAAGAGCTGAGGGACAGTGCCCAGGCCCAGAGTTCAGGCCCCACAACCGGACCAAAAAAAAAAAAAAATATATATATATATATATATATATATTTTTATCTGGTCCATTTTTTTTCTTTTTGGGGGGGGGGGGGGTTCCGGTCGTGGGGCCTGAACTCTGGGCCTGGGCGCTGTCCCTCAGCTCTTCAGCTCAAGGCTAGCGCTCTACCACTTGAGCCACAGCGCCACTTCCGGCTTTTTTTTCCTTTTTGCTTATGTGGTGCTAAGGAATCGAACCCAGGGCCTCAGGCATGCAAGGCAAGCGCTCTACCACTGAGCCACCTTCCCAGCCCAGATAAAAATATTTATGTACATATATATATACACACATAGAACGGAAGTTTCATTACAGAGTAAACAGGGCAGAAAGGAAACAAGGCCAATTCTAGAGAAGAGTATAAGGGAGTTTCTAGTAGTATTATTTTTGCAACTCCTTATAAATGAAATTATTTTAACATAAAAAGCTTTTTAAAAGTTAGCCAGGCGCTGATGGCTCACACCTGTAATCCTAGCTATTCAGGAGACTGAGATCTGAGGATCACAGTTCAAAGGCAGCTGGGATAGGAAAGTCTGTGACACTCTTATCTCCAATTCACCAACAAAAAGCTGGAAGTGGAGCTGTGACACACACACACACACACACACACACAGAGAAGCTGATAGCTATTTCTTTTTTTTCTTTTGGTTGGTCCTGAGGCCTGAACTCTGGGCCTGGGCACTGTCCCTCAGCTCAAGGCTAGTGCTCTACCACTTGAGCCACAGCACCACTTCTGGCCTTTTCTGCTTATGTAGTGCTGAGGAATCAAACCCAGGGCCTCATGCATGCAAGGCAAGCACTCTGCCACTGAGCCACCTTCCTAGCCCATGATAGCTCTTTCTCTAAACAAATACTTACCAAGTGAATGGGGCTGAGTATACACAGAGGGCACTTTAACTTCTGCATTGACAGTACCAGAAAATGGCTAAGAAAATGAATTTGGCCAGGTGCTCAGGCCTGTAATCCTAGCTACACAAGAGGAGATAACAGAGGATCAAGGTTTGAAGCCATCCTAGCAAACAAACCCACAAAACTCTCATCTCCAGAAGTGGAGCTATGGCTCAAGGGGTAAAGCCTCAGCACTGAACAAAAAAGACAAATGAAAGCTTGAGGTCTGGAGCTTAAGCCCGAATACCAGCGCATGTACACATGCGCACATGCACACACATACACACACACAAATGAATTTAATATTTTTTAAATGGTACTTCTAAATTTGATGTCTATAGCAGATGTGTTGCTAACATTTTTTTTTTTTTGGTCTAGTCGTGGGGCCTGAACTCTGGGGCCTGGATGCTGTCCCTCAGCTCTTCAGCTCAAGGCTAGTGCTCTACCACTTGAGCCACAACGCCACTTCCAGCTTTTTCTTTTTGCTTATGTGGTGCTGAGGAATCGAACGCAGGGCCTCA